GAACTGAAGATACAACATGTTCTGTAGGCTAAGTCTTTCATTTACAGGACAGGATCGTTATAAAAATTTCATGAAATATTGTATGTCAATTTCTGATCACTCCAGACCCAATGCAGTCCTTCACCAGCCATCACTACTTTCAAGTCACCAGTGGCAGGGGTCCCTTCTGTTTCCTCCCTTTACCTCTCAGCAGTACCCTGCGGCAGACCACCTGCTTCTCTAAGCGGCCTAGCAGCCTCTGCTTGGTCCACACACTCCTCTGGTCCCTCTAGTCATGGAACTTCTTTCCTCCTCCTCTACCAACTGCTAAATGCATTCCCTGGCAGCTGGGCATGGCGACTCATGCCTCTAATCCCAGCACTTTGGGAGGCCAAGGCAAGTGGATCACTTGAGGTCAGGAGTTTGAGACCAGCCTGGCCAATATGGTGAAACCCCATCTCTGCCAAAAAATAAAAAAAAATTAGCTGGGCATCATGGCGCGCACCTGTAATCCCAGCTACTTCGGAGGTTGAGGCATGAGCATCGCTTGAACCTGGAAGGTGGAGGTTGCAGTGAGCCGAGACTGCGCCACTGTACCCCAGCCTGGGTGACAGAGTAAGACTCTGTCTCAAAAAAAAAAGAAAGTGAAGATTTTGGGAGGTGATTACATCATTGGATTAGTCTTTTAGAGTGAGGGAAATGTGCTAAAATTGAATTATGGCGATGCTTGCACAACTGTAAATTTATGAAAAATCACTGAAATTAGCTGGACACAGTGGCTCATTCCTGTAATCCCAGCTATTCCAGAGGTTGAGGTGGGAGGACTGCTTCAGCCTGTTACCCAGGCTGGAGCTTGTGACCAGCCTGGGTTAACAGTAAGATCCTGTCTCAAAAACAACAGCACTGAATTATATAGTTGAATGAGTTTTATGAGCTTGAAAGTGTAGATCAATAAAGCTGTTTAAAAAGTAAAACTAGGCCAGGTGTGGTGGCTCATGCCTGTAATCCCAGATCTTTGGGAGGCTGAGGTGGGTGGATCATGAGGTCAGGAGTTCGAGATCAGCCTGGCCAACATGGTGAAACCCATCTCTACTAAAAATACAAAAATCAGCTGGGCATGGTGGTGGGTGCCTGTAATCCCAGCTACTCAGGAAGCTGAGGCAGGAGAATCACTTGAACCCGGGAGGTGGAGGTTGCAGTGAGCTGGGATCATGCCATTGCACTCCCAGCCTGGCAACATAGCAAGACTTTGTCCCAAAAAATAATAAAAAACAAACAAAAAACCTAAATTCTTAATTCCATCTGCTCAACATGCTCCTTCTCCAGTCTTTCCCTTCTGAGAAGTAGCCCCTTCATCTGCGGAATCATTCTAGACTCTTCCTTCTCTTCACCTGCCATGCTCAACCCCAGTCCCGTTTGCCTCTTCTTCCTAAATACCTGTTGACTCAATTGCTCTCTGTCTCCACTGCCCCGCTGTGCAGGCTGCCTGTTCCCTGCAAGTCTGCAGAAGCGTTCCAATGATTCTCCCACACTTGCCCCTTTCCAGCGCCTTTACACACAGTGCTCCAAGTTAAAACATAATGCATACAACTGCCATGTTTCAAATTGTTTCCATAAGGCCTAAAATAAGGCCAGGCACAGTGGCTCATGCCTGTAATCCCAGCACTTTGGGCGGCCAAGGCGGGTGGATCACCTGAGTTCAGGAGTTTGAGATCAGCCTAGCCAACATGGTGAAACCCTGTCTCGGTTAAAAGTACAAAAACTAGCTAGGAGTGGTAGCACATGCCTGTGATCCCAACTACTTGGGAGGCTGAGGTAGGAGAATCCCTTGAATCTGGGAGGTGGAAGTTTCAGTGAGCTGAGATCATGCCACTGCACTCCACCCTGGGCAACAGAGCAAGACTCTGTCTTTAAAAAAAAAAAAAAAAAAAAAAAAAAGCTTCAAATAAAACCAAACAACCCCTTTTCCAGCTTACAAGATTCTACCCACTTCTCATTGCACCCTACAAATCCCAGGCCAGACCCATCCCGCCACAGAGCCTCTGCATATGCGTGCCCCTCTGCAAAAATATACTGCACCTTGCACACCCACCCACATAATAAGACTGCCTACTCATTCCTGGGAAGGCCTGTCCCTTTTTCTGAAATAAGTGATTTCACACGTTTTGAAAATATTAAGGAAAAGATGGTAAAAAATTGGTATATCGAAACAGTCCATACTTTTTTTTTTCCCCCAGAAAATTCAGTTCTGAAATCCAGCATCTCTAAACCACCACAATACTCCAAATACTCCAGTGGGGCAGTCTCTTCACTCTACTGAGTGTCTAAACATGGGGGAAAGAAACATAAATAAGACAAGATCCCTACTTGCATGGTCCATAGCCTGATAAAAGTGGAAACACCTAAACACATCCCTTCAGTTTAGTGTGGCATACATGTGTGACAGAGGGTGGACAAAGTGACAGAGTCTGATGGTAGCAAGAGAAAACTCAGCCATCTGCAGAGGAGTCCTCAAAGTCCAGAGGTTATGGGAGGAGAACGGTCATAAGGAGTGTATTGATGATAAGGTGTGTATTTAGGAGGTGGGGTAGCAAGGGACACCACTGCTCATGGCAAGGAGGGCATCAGCCAGGTAAGAGCAGGTAACTGGAGCAGCTCAATGTTATGGTTGGCCATATGAAGAAAGTGCTATTTGGTGTAACTGCCAGCACAGGTGGGAAGTCTGGAAACACTCATTCATGCAAGCGCCTTTATTTCAAAATACAGAGCCTGTGGTATGCTACCAAGCGAGTCTTCTGGGTGAGCTTGGTAAATTCACCATTTATGCATGTTATTTCTTTTTCTTTCTTATTTTTATTTATTTATTTGTTTTGAGATGGAGTCTTGCTCTTGTTGCCCAGGCTGGAGTGCAATGGCATGATTCTGGCTCACTGCAATCTACGCCTCCAGGCTCAAGCGATTCTCCTGCCTTAGTCTCCCAAGTAGCTGGGATTACAGGTGCCCACCACACACCTGGCTATTTTTTTTTTTTTTTCGTATTTTTGGTAGAGAAGGGGTTTCACCACATTGGCCAGGCTGGTCTCTAACTCCTGACCTCAGGTCAGGAGTCAGCCACCTCAGCCTCCCAAAGTGCTGGGATTACAGACTTTAGTAAATGCACCTGGCCTTACGCATCCATTTCTTTCATGCAACACAAGAGTCCTGTGAGATGGGTATTAGCCCCAAGATGAGGATACTGGAAGTCACGCCATTCGGAAAATTGCCCAGGTCACACACTCAGCGGCTAGCAGAACCAGATTCGAGCTCAGGTCAGTGAGGCAGTACAGGGTCTCCATTACAATATGCTAGTGAGAAAATTATTGGTTCAGTCCTTAAATAGCTCTTTTGCCACTGATCCTGCAATCTATCCTGAACATCTATCTTGTGAGAGATTGAAGAGTTTGGTAAAACTGACAGAGTTATATAGCCTATAAATAACTAGACACTCAAAGAAGTAATCACAGAAGAAATGTATCTGAGCAGATAGATACACACACCTTACAATCGAAAATGTCAGCAAGAAATCTCTCACTTTACCCATTTTTAACTTCATACAAAACCACATTCAGGGTTGGGAGCTGCGGCTCATGCCTGTAATCCCAGCACTTTAATAGGCTGAGGTGGAAGAATTGCTTGAGCCCAGGAGTTGAGACTAGACTGGGCAACATAGTGAGACCTCCGTCTCTACAAAATAATAATAATAATAAAGAAAAAGAAACAAGTTCGAGTGAAAAACCAATAGCCAGATCCCAAAAAAGTTCACTGTAAATATGTTTACATGAAGGAATATTTCTGAGTTCGATGAAAATGAGGACGCAGTGACCCTACACAAAAGCAAAAACATTTAGCAACAAATAATAGATATGAACCATTAGTAATAAAATTGATAATGACCCTTAGCTTACAGCACAAAAACATTCATCACCAACGGGTCTCATCGACTCTGAGACACACTGATTTGAATTTGATCTTTCACAGTGGTAATTAAATTGTACTCGAAAAAATTTAAGCCACCTAATGGTAGTAGGCCTGGGGGGCGGAGGGGACAGTATTCCATCACTCTAACCAAAAAATCTAGCAACGTCTTCCCAAATGCAGGGCTGCGGTCGCGAGTGTAAGGCAACACCTGCGGGTAACAGTCCCCGCCAGCAGCCGGGAACGCTGCAGGGCGCAGGGGCCAGGCCGGCAGAGCGCCCGGATCCCCTCTCCTGCGAACGAGTTGGAAGACTGGGGTCTTCCCCGACCAGGAAAGCCTTCAGTCAGGTCCGCGTCCCCAGCCAGGACCGCACGAGCAAACAAAGGCTGCGCGTCTCGCTGTGGGCCAGCCCCAGGAGGGCGCAGGGGCCGCGACCCACCTGACCTGCACCTGCCTCCCCGCTCGGCGAGGGCGTGGCTGGACGCACATCCTCCGCGCGAGGATCGGGTAAGTCGAGGGGACCCCACCCAGCCTCCCCGCTGCACTCCGGGTCTCCAGCCCCGAGCTCCCCGCCCCCGCACTGCAGCAGCGCGCGCCGCGGGCCCGGGCCGCGCGCCTGGAAGCCACCTGCACCGCGGGCTGCCCTACGGCGCCGCCCGAGCCCTCTGGACCCCGGGAAAGGCTCGCGGACGGCGGGGAGGCGACACCCGGCTTCCCCGGCTTCGCCCAGCGGCTGAGGGGTGGACGCCGGGCAGGGCGCGAGCACTACTTACCCGCAGCAGCGGCCCTGTTGGCGGGCGCGCCCACGTGCGGCGCGGAGGAGCCCGCCCGTCTGCGGAAGAGACTGGATAGGGGCTGCGGCGCGGCCAGGAGCCAGAACCGCCTAGGAAGCACGGCGCCCGAGAACCAGCGGCGGCGGCTAGTCCCTACCACGGCGTCGGGGCGGAGCTTGGAGGCGGGGCCTTTACGCTCGGGGCGTGACTCGAAGGCGGGGCCGGATGCCTGGAGGCGGGCCCAGGGGGGGGTCGGACCTGCAGGTGGGCCATAGGCGCGCGGGGGCGGGGTTTCCGCGGGCGGGGCGGAACTGGAAGATGGTGCCTGCCGCTTGGAGGCAGGATCGAGGGCGGGGCCTGGAGGTGGGTCATGGGTACGGGGGCGGGGCCTTGGCGGGCCGGACAACGTTGGAAGGCGGAGCCTGACGCATGGAGGCGGGATAATGGGCGGGGCATGGAGGTGGGCCATAGGTGCGGGGGCGAGGACTCGGAGGGCCGGGCTGGGCTGAAAGGCGAGGCCTGATGCATGGAGGCGGTTTCAAGGGCGGGCTGAAGGTGGACGTTCGGCTTGGGGGCGGGGCATCGGGCTTAGGAGCGGGGTTTGGGGAGGCACTCGGCCGACCTGGGCGGTTCCAGTCGCAGCAGCCGAGTAGTGAGGGAGCCGGAATCTTCTTTAGCTTCCCGCCGTAGGCGTTGCTTTGCAGCCGAGCTGCTCCGGGGAAGGTCTTGTACAGGTGGGCGGGGCGGAGTCTGCATCTCACCTGGGGACCCCCGACTAGGGGTCTCACCTGGGGACCTCCTCCTAATGTGAGGAGACATTGGTCAGTGCCAGTCCAAGGTGTCCGCGCGTGCATCGGGCCTCGGAGGTGCTTTGGAATCACTCACACAAACGGAGAAGTGGGGGCTCCTCGAAGGGTGCGCTGCACCTGGTTCACCCCAACTTTTCCCTCTCGACTACGCCCAAGTCCTCCACACACGCTCGGGGCTCAGGGGGCGCGGCGGGCTTGGGACCCCTGCTAAGTTGCCTCAGCCCGCGCGGGCCTGAGGTTTCCGACCCTGGGCGACCGGGGAGATGGGATCCTTTCTACCTGGACGGACCTCGTCACGTGGTCTCTGGCTCAGGAAGGAGACCTTGACGTCAACCTTAGAAAGCATTCCTATCTCCAGACAAACCCCAGCCCCTGCCTGCTATCCTCTCGAGCGCTGGGACCTGGAAGGTCCAGTCTGACCGCTTCAGAGCAGGACGCACCTGGAGGGTGTGCGGTAGGTATAGCTCACCTAAGCACAGGCCCTGACCCATCCAGCTGCGGCTCCCAATCCGGACTGGGCCACCTGTGGATGAAGGCTGTCATTTCTGCAGAGGCCTCGGTCCTTTTAACCCCCAAGCATCCTTTAGAAATGTTCAGACCAGGGCAACAGAGTGAGACTCCATCTCAAAAAAAAAAAAAAAAAAAAAAAATTTGAGTATTCTGACAAGAAATCTGCTTTCCTGGATCAAGTTGTCTTGTCACACTTGAAAGTCTACTTAGCTGCGTTCATCAGTTTAAGACATGCAGAAAGAGCCAGGTCCTTGGATATTAATACTCAAACCAAGTAAGGTGTTTCAAATTTAATTTACATCCAAACTTTAATCCTTACCCCTCTTGACAATAAAGAAGGCATTATAAATCAGAACCCACTACATTATCTGGCTCAGGCTGGTGCACCCAGACCGATCTCAAGTGATCCACCCACCTCGGCCTCCCAAAGTGCTAGGATTACAGGCGTGAGCCACCGTGCCAGGCCTAAGTCAGTGTCTTTTATAAACTAAGTTCTGCTCCACCCATCTTGATAGTAACCACTGGTTCTCTGTTGGCTTCTGCTTCCTTCCCTAAAATATCCATTCCCTTTGCTCTCCCCATGTTCTTCTGAGTGGAGAAGTCCTGTGCATTTCTGTATTTGATACTTCCTCCACTTTGCAACTGACCTTTGTTATTGACACCTGTTTCATCTCCACACTGCATCCTCATTCAGATTCTTGGTCTGTCACAATCCTTGTTGCAGTTCAGTAGGTGAAGGAAAAAAAGGGTGGAGTCTAAAGCTGATACTGCATGTGGTTGTACCACACATGAAACAGTCTAGAAAAATGTATCACAGAAAAGCTGATGTGGAAGGAACCACTGGCTCCTTCTGGTGCCTAAAAAACACATTGTATTAGCCAGGCGTGATGGCATGCACTTGTACTCCCAGCTGCTTGAGAGGCTGAGGCAGGAGGATCACTTGAACCTGGGAGGTGAAGGTTGCAGTGAGTCGAAAATGTGTCACTACACTCCAGCCTGGGCAGCAGAGTAAGACTCTGTCTCAGAAAAAAAAAAACAAAACCAAAACAAACCAAAAACACATTGCGTGAGATAATCCATTTAAAATATGCTGCATTTAAACCATATTTCATTTCTCTATGGAAAAGTTCATATAGGGGCTAACTTGGGGATTTATTAATAATAACCATATGGCTTACACTTTAAGTGTAATCTAATTTGTGTTTAAGTTAAATGAATCATCTCCCTTAGTTTTTACACCAAGAGAGTTACTACTTGGTCTCTAGACTCATCAGTGAAGCTGGACTTGCCAAGCACTAGAGACAAAAGGACTTGGTAGTCAGTCCTGGATATGATCCTGGCTTTAGCTCTGAGATCTTGAGCAAGTCAATTAACCTCTCCAAGCCTTTATTTCTTAATTTGAAAAATGACATTGATTCCTACCTTAAAGGATGCAGTGGTTTGAATGTGTCCCCTAAAGTCATGTATTAGAAACTTAATCCCCAAGGCAACACGGTTGCAAAGTGGGACCTTTAAGATCATGAGTGAAGATTCTGCCATCATGAATGGATTAATACCTTTATCAGGGGAGTGGATTCCTGATAGAAGGATGAGTTTAGCTTACGCCTTGTGTGCATTCTCTTGCCCTTCTGCCTTCTGCCATGGTAGGGACACACCAGTAGGCCTTTGCCAGATGCTAGTGCCATGCTTTTGGACTTCCCAGACTCCAGAATTGTGATAAATAAACTTACTTTTTTTTTTTTTTTTAAAGACAGGTGACAGAGTCTCATTCTGTTGCTCAGGCTGCGGTGAAGTGGCATGATCATAGCTCACTGCAGCCATAAACTCCTGGGGACAAGTGATACTCATACCTCGACTTCTTAAGTAGGTAGTACTAAAGGTAGGCATGACCATACCTAATTAATATTTATTTTTTGTAGAGATGGGGTCTCTCTATGTTGTCCAGGCTGGCCTTGAACTCCTGGCCTTACATGATCCTCCCACTTTGGCCTCCCAAAGTTATGGGATTATTGGCATAAGCTACTGTGCCCAGGCAAATTTACTTTCTTTATACATTACCTGGTCTGTGATATTCCATCATAGTAACACAAAATGAAGGGAAAGGACTACAGTGAGAATTACCTAAAACCATGTTGGGAAATTATTAAGCAGGACATACGGTCTAGTTTGCCATAGATTTTCAATTCATGATTTTTTTTCTCCTTTTGATTCCAAGCCTAATTGTTTTTTTTCCTACAGCATACTCTGAACCCCCAGAATCTGAGACAGGTCTCAGTTAATTTAGAAAGTTTATTTTGCCAAGGTTGAGAATGGGCAACCATGACTCTGACAGCATATGCCCAAGACGGTAGGGGCACAGCTTGGTTTTACACATTTTAGGGAGACATGAGACAACGATCAATATGTGTAAGATGTACATTGGTTCAGTCCAGAAAGGTGGGACAACTTGAGGCAAAGGTGGGACAGCTGGAAGCATGGAGGGGACTTCCAGGTCATAGGCAGATAAGAGATAAATGGTGTCATTCATTTGAGTTTCTGATTAGCCTTTCCAAATGAGGCAAACAGATATGCATTTGTCTCAGTGAGCAGAGAGGTGACCTTGAATAGAATGGAAGGCAGGTTTGCCCTAAGCAGTTCCCAGCTTGACTTTTCCCTTTAGCTTAGTGAGTTTGGGGCCCCAAGACTTATTTTCCTTTCACAATACTGTAAAACATGTTAATGCAAGGTGGCTCATGCTAGTAATCCCAGTACTTCAGAAGCTGAGGCAGGTGGATCACCTGAGGTTGGGAGTTCGAGACCAGCCTGACCAACATGGAGAAACCCTGTCTCTACTAAAAATACAAAAAAAAAAAAAAAAATAGCTGGGCATGGTGGTGCATGCCTGTAATCCCTGCTACTCAGGAAGCTGAGGCAGGAGAATCACTTTAACCTGAGAGGCAGAGGTTGCAGTGGGTTGAGATCTTGCCACTACACTCCAGCCTGGGCAACAAGAGTGAAACTCCATCTCAGAAACACACACACACACACACACACACACACGTTAATGCACTTCTATTAGTTAGGTTCCTTTTGATTGCAAGCAACAACTCTCCAATTCAATGTAGCCTAAGAAAAAGAAAAATATGTTTTAAGGCTACAGGGGTATCTTGGAGCATCTCTGAGAACTCAGGATATCAGGAATGATCTTAGGGCCATTCTTTTTTTTTTCTTTTTCTTTTTCTGAGACAGCGTCTTGCTTTGTCACCAAGACTGGAGTGCAGTGATGCAAACATGGCTGGCTGGCTCACTGTAGCTTCCACCTCCCAGGCTCAAGTGGTCCTCCTGCCCCAGCTCCCTGAGGAACTGGGACTACAGGCATGTACCATCACATCCGGCTAATTTTTGTATTTATTTTGTAGAGACAAGGTATCACCATGTTACCCATGCTCGAACTCTTGAGCACAAGCCATCCACCTGCCTTGACCTCCCAAAGTGCTGGGATTGGAGGGATGAGTCACTGCGCCTGTACTAAATGCTCCTCTTGATGGTTGGCCTTTTTCTCTGGCTATGGCTGGCTCCCTCTGCTTCTCAGGCACATGGGGTGGGACGCACAGTAACAGCTCTGATCCAATCCCACTGGTTCTTTTTAAAGGAAGGACCTATAGCTGGAGCAGTCAACAGAAGCAAGGTCACCTTGTGGCTGCTGCAGCTGCAAACATGGGAAGGAAGTCCGGGGGAGGGTGGGAGATCATATTTTGGAGGAGGGTGCTAGGCAGACCATCCAATAAGGGCCAATGGCAGCCCTTCTCATAAGAATGAGAAATGTCATTCTGACCAGCCGTTGACAATTAAGGGTCATCTAAGTGGGCTTCATGCTTATCCAAAAAGGATTGGCTAGAGACAAAAGAGGAAGTGGGTTACACACTTATCCAAAAAGGATTGGTTAGATACAAAAGAGGAAGAAGAAATAAAAGGAATTGGCTCATTTCCTCAAGCACTTCCTGTCTGTGACTTTGTCAGGCACAGCCTAAAGTGCTCTGTGGTTCCTGGGCGATTGCCCGTCATTAACAGGACTGGAGTTTGGCCGCAGAGGAAGGCCGGAGTATAAGAGATACTCAGGAAACTTACTGAAAGCCATTAAAATGTTTTTAGAGCCAGAAAAGAAGCCATTAAAATGTCTTAGGAGCTGTGGCCTGAGATGAATAAGAGCATGTTGGATTTAATCAGTGACATATAAGTAGGCTGAGGGAAGTTTTTCTTGTTAAGTTTTTTTTGAGACAGGGTCTCATCCTGTCACTCAGGCTGGAGTGCAGTGGCGCAATCACGGCTCACTGCAGCCTTGACCTCCCGGGTTCAAGTAATCCTCCCAACCTCAGCCTCTGAGTAGCTGGGACTACAGGTGTGCACCACTAACCCCATCTAAGATTTTTTGTAGACAAGGGTCTTGCTATGTTGCCCAGGCTGGTCTCAAACTTCTGGGCTCAAGCAACCTGCCTGCCTTGGCCTCCCAAAGTGCTGGGATTCCAGGCATGAGCCACTCCATCTGGCCTGAGGAAGTTAAATGCAGACTAGGTAGGATTCAGACTCCCCCTACCCCAAGTAGATGAAAAAGTGGGTGAGAGCCGTGAGAGTTAAACTCACCCTTGGAGGAGCTGTCACTGTAAACCAGAAAGTCAGGAAAACAAACAGCTGCACACTGTGATGAACTAGAAACAGGTCATCTTGTTTAGTTCTGTTCCCCCAAATAAAAGAAACTTGAGGCTGGGAGCAGTGGCTCATGCCTATAATCCCAGTACTTTGGGAGGCTGAGGTGGGTGGAACATGAGGTCAGGAGTTCGAGACCAGGCTGGCCAACTTAGTGAAACCCCATCTCTATGAAAAATACAAAAATTAGCTGGGTGTGGTGGCACATGCATGCAGTCCCAGCTATTCAGGAGGCTGAGGCAGGAGAATTGCTTGCACCCGGGAGGCGGAAGTTGCAGTGAGCTGAGATAGTGCCATTGCACTCCAGCCTGGGTGACAGAGCGAGACTCTGTCTCAAGGAAAAAAAAAAAAAAGAAAAAGAAACTTGAGCATTCCCATACTTGACTGATTCCCTAAGGAAAAACAGCATTACCGCTTCTGACTGCAATGCTTACTTAGGAGATATTGAGTGACTTCTCTTTCTGGGTTTGAGAGGGGCATGGTTTCAAAGGCAGGAGTTTCCTGACTCCACGCCTCCATCCAGAAACCAGAGGGGTTTCAACTGTAAAGTTATTTGTCTGGATTTTTGGCATGCAGCCTAGGTAGAGAAAGCCAGGTGAGGCTCCTTTGTCCAAAAAACCCCGCCAAAAGCTCTGGGAGGAGGGGGCCCTGTAACTTAGAGTTGTGGACCAAGCAGCCAATTTGACATCAAAGATCACTCCAGAGGAAGTTTGAAAGAACTTCTCTCATTGGACATAAACATGAGTGGGGAGGGAATAACTCAAGTGTTAAAACTCCAGCTGCTCCTACCTATACGAATTCCCTCTCTGGGTCCCTTCCCAGGACAGTGTGGGAGCTGTCTCTCTCTCTCTCTCTGTCTAATCGCTTTTCTGCACACTCTTTGGGTCCATGATATTTATTCAAACGGCAAACTCACTGTGCTTCTAGGGCCCCTTTCCCCATTCTTCAGGGTTAGTGAGGCTGCAGTAAGCCATGATCGTGCCACTGTGCTCCAGCCTGGGCAACAAAGCAAGACCCTGTCTCAAATGTAAAAAAAAAAAAGGCTCAGGGAGTCACTGAAGAATCACCCTGGGCTGTAGTTCACAGGGTGGTGTGCATAGGTTAAGGAGAGACACTTGCACGTGTTGCAGTAAAGAGGGAAAGTTGAGGCCAGGCGTGGTGATTCACGCCTGTAATCCCAGCACTTTGGGAGGCTGAGGTGGGCAGATCACCTGAGGTTGGGAGTTTGAGACTAGCCTGGCCAACGTGGAGAAACACTGTCTCTACTAAAAATACAAAATTAGCTGGGTGTGGTGGCGCATGCCTGGAATCCCAGCTACTCAGGAGGCTGAGGCAGGAGAATTGCTTGAACCTGGGAGGTGGAGATCGCACCATTGCTCTCCACCCTGGACAACAAGAGCAAACTCTGTCTCAAAAAATAATAATAATAATAATAAAGATAAAGTTTAGGTGACTGGGCAACCTTGCAAACATTCTGGGAAGGCATGCAGAATGCAACACCCAGCAGAAAAATCTGGTTCGAAAGAAATTATGTCCCAATAAAAGAAGATATTCCTCCTGAGTCCTTCAAGCTCTACTGCTTCATAAGAACCAGCCAGGTGCGGTGGCTCATGCTTATAATCCCAGCACTTTGGTAGGCTGGGGTGGGAAGATCACCTGAGGCCAGGAGTTTGAGACCAGCCTAGCCAACATGTTGAAACCCCATCTCTACTAAAAATACAAAAAATTAGCTGTGTGTGATGGCAGGCGCTTGTAGTCCCAGCTACTTGGGAGGCTGAGGCAGAAGAATCGTTTGAACCCAGGAGGTGGTGGTTGTAGGCGTACTCCAGCCTGGGTGACAGAGTGAGACTCTGTCTCAAAATAAAAAAAAGTATAGGAACCAACAAAAATACACTCAAATATAACAAAACAGAATGAGGTGCAAAGAAAGCCTGCAGAGCTAAGGAAATAGAGGATGAGGCATCATCCTTACAGAATTAAAAAACTGGAAATAGCATGGTGGCTCACACCTATAATCCCAGCACTTTGGGAGGCTGAGGCGGGTGGATCACGAGGTCAAGAGATCGAGACCATCCTGGTCAACATGGTGAAACCCTGTTTCTACTAAAAAGAAAGCTGGGCATGGTGGTGTGCACCTGTGGTCCCAGCTACTCGGGAGGCAGGAGAATTGCTTGAACCCAGGAGGCGGAGGTTGTGATGAGCAAAGATCTCGCCATTGCACTCCAGCCTGGGTAACAAGAGCGAAACTCTGTCTCAAAAAACAAAACAAAACTGGAAATAGCAAGGAAGAGCTGGAAAATGCTGGAGCTCTGACTCTACCATTCTAAAAGCACTCGCTATGCCAGTGGTTCTCAAAGTGCAGTGCCGGGACCAGCAACATCAGCACCATCTGGGAACTTGTTAGAAATGAAGTGAATTGGTGCGGGGAGGGGAACCAACAACTGTTTCCATCAGCCCTCCAGGTGGTCCCGATGCCCACGAAAACATTCTTCTCCCTCTCAGGCTAAAGAGTTGGGCATAGCAATGTTGTTGAGCTCCAGATTCCAGAACCAGAAACACCTTTCTCCCAGGGAGATTCTAATAGACATTCATTTTCAAGAACAGAAAGAGAATCAGGTTGGGCATGGTGGCTCACACCTGTAATCCCAATGCTTTGGGAGGCCGAGGCAGGTGGATCCCCTGAGGTCAGGATTTTGAGAACACCCTGGCCAAGATGGTGAAACCCCGTCTCTACTAAAAATACTAAAGTTAGTTGGGTGTGGTGGCGGGCACCTGTAATCCCACTACTCACTCAGGAGGCTGAGACAGAGAATTGCTTGAACCTGGGAGGTGGAGGTAACAGTGAGCCAAGATTGCACCACTGCACTCCAGCCTGGGGGACAGAGTGAGACTTCATCTCAATTAAAAAAAAAAAAAAATCTGGGTTTGGTGGCTCACGCCTGTAATCCAGCACTTTGGGAGGCCAAAGCGGGCCAATCACAAGGTCAAGAGATTGAGACCATCCTGGGCAACATGGGGAAACCCTGTCTCTACTAAAAAAACAAAAAATTAGCCAGGCGTGGTGGCATGTGCCTGTAGTCCCAGCTACTGGGGAGGCTGAAGCAAGGGAATCACTTGAACTCGGGAGGTGGAGGTTGCAGTGAGCCAAGATAGCGCCACTGCACTCCAGCCTGGCGACAATCAAACCACAACATCATTTCGTTCATTCCATTCCACCAACATTTATTAAGCATCAAACTCTGAGGCAGACGTTTACCAGTTTTGCACAACTTTGTCATGAAGCAGCTGGCCTTGTGGCTCAGTAGCATCAGGAGGCAGGAGGGCCAAGTAGACAGGGGTGTCAGCCCCCTCCTCCACAGTCCTGATGCCGACTTCCTTAGTCACGTCTGTCTTCACTTGTCCTGGGCAGCACGCATTCACGAGAATCCTATCAGCTTTCCTCTTCTCATCCAGATGCCTGGCCAGGATCCTTGATAAGACCGTGACCCCCAACTTGGACACCCCATAAGGTAAGTTGGGCCAGCCTTCCCTCTCATGCACCTCATTTTTTGTGTCCTCGACAAACTTTTTCATGAGATCCACCAGGTCTGCCTCTGTGAGTGTCTCACTGCGGAACTTTTCCTGCAGGTCTTCACTGCAGTTTTCAAAAGCCCTTAAACACTGTGAACTACTGATATTCACCACTCTCCCTAAAACAGAGTGAGAGAAATATGAAAGCATATCACAGAGATACAACTATTGCTTGAACATACCAAACATACAATTGAGTCATGGTGCGGGTGTTTTTTTTTTTTGAGACAGAGTCTCGCCCTGTCGCCCAGGCTGGAGTGCAGTGGTGTGCTGTCATCTCTGTCCACTGCAACCTCCGCCTCCCAGCTTCAAGCAATTCTCCTGCCTCAGCCTCACAAGTAGCTGGGATTACAGGTGTGCACCACCACACATGGCTAATTTGTATTTTTAGTAGAGATAGAGTCTCACCATGTTGGCCAGGCTGGTCTTGAACTCCTGACCTCAAGTGATCCACCTGCCTCGGCCTCCCAAAGTGCTGGGATTACAGGCATGAACCACCGTGCCTGGCCTTGTGCAGATTTAATTGCCGATTAAAAACGAAAATGTGGCTGGACACTGTGGCTCACGCCTATAATCCCAGCACTTTGGGAGGTCGAGAGGGGCAGATCACTTGAGCCCAGGAGTTCAAGACCAGCCTGGGCAACGTGGCAAAACTTTGTCTCTACTAAAAATATAAAAGTTAGCTGAATGTGATGGCTTGTGCCTGTGGTCTCAGCTACTCAGGAAGTTGACGTAGGAGGATCACCTGAGCCCAGGAAGTAGCGATTGCAGTGAGATGTGATCACACTACCACACTCCACTACACTCCAGCCTGGGTGACATGAATGAGATTCTTTCTCAAAAAGTAATAATAAAATTAAAAATATGACTATAGAAGGCATAATATGCACCCGTGGGTTTTAATATTTTTTTGGTCCCTATTCTCCCAAGGGAAGAACACACCTCCATCAGTAAGAAGGGCTCCCTTTTGCAGGATTCTCTGAGGTGGGTGAGGTAGTAAATTCGTAGATTTCCCCAGGAAGTTTCGTTTTCATTTTTTAATTTTTTTTTTTTTGAGATGGAGTCTTGCTCTGTCACCCAGGCTGGAGTGCAGTGGCATGATCTCGGCTCACTACAACCTCCCCCTCTCGGGTTCAAGTGATTCTCCTGCCTCAGCCTCCCAAGTAGCTGGGATTACAGGTGACTGCCACTATGCCCGGCTAATTTTTTGTATTTTTAGTAGAGACAGGGTTTCACTGTGTTAGCCAGGATGATCTCGATCTCTTGACCTTGTGATCCACTTGTCTTGGCCTCCCAAAGTGCTGGGATTACAGGCATGAGGCACTGCACCCAGTCCCCTAATTTTTTTTTAAGATACAGTCTTACTCTACCACCGAGGCTGGAGAGCAGTGGTGCAATCTCTACTCATTGCAACCTCTGCTTCCCAGGTACAAGTAATTCTCCCGTATCATCCTCCCTAGTAGCTGGGATTACAGGTGCCCACCACCATGCCTGACTAATTTTTGTACTTTTAGTAGAGATGGGTTTTGCCATGTTGGCCAGGCTGGTATCGAACTCCTGACCTCAAGGGATCTGCCTGCCTCAGCCTCCCAAAGTACTGGGGTTATAGGTGTGAGCCACTGCACCCAGCCTAAGATTTATTTTGTTCTGTGAGACAGGGTCTTGTTTTGTCACCCAGGCTGGAATGCAGTGGCATGATCTCGGCTTACTGCAACCTCCGCCTCCCAGGTTCAAGAGAGTCTCCTGCCTCAGCCTCCAAAGTAGCTGGGACTACATGTGTGTGCCACCACACCTGGCTAATTTTTGTATTTTTTTTTAAGTAGAGATGGGGTTTCATGTTGACCATACTGGCCTTGAACCCCTGACCTCAAGTGATCTGCCCACCTTGGTCTCCCAAAGTGTTGGGGTTACAGGCGTGAGCCACCATGTGCCCGACCCCCTGGCAGTTTTATAAAACCGTTCCTCCCTGGCATACATACTCCAAGTGCTTGTAAACTTGCTTTCCAAGGGACAGTGCTCTCACCCTAAGGACTAATGCTCTCAATTTCCTAGGCACACCCAATTTTCTAGGGCCTCAATTCCTTAGTGCCACAATCAGCAACAAGCAATCCCTGGGGATGACTCTGTCTTTCATTGTAGATATTCCACATGTGGAATGGGCTGTTTCTCCATCCTGGTTTTTGTTTCATTACTTTTTTTTTTTTTTTTTTTTGACACAGAGTCTTACTCTGCTACCCAGGCTGGAGTTCAGTGGCACGATCTCTGCTCACGATAGCCTCCACCTCCTGGGGTCAAGTGATCCTTCTGCCTCAGCCCCATAAGTAGCTGGGACCACCGGCACATGCCACCATGCCTGACTGATTTTTGTATTTTTCATAGAAACAGGGTTTCTCCATGTTGGCTAGGCTGGTCTGAAGTCCTAACTCAGGAGATCTGCCCGCCTCGGCCTCCCAAAGTGCTAGGATTACAGGTGTGAGCCACTGCACCTGGCCTGATTTCATTATTTTTTAGTCCATATTTAATAATACTCATATTCATTAAATCACAAATTATTTATGTTGCTCATCATTCACAGCTGCTAAATTGTGCTCATAGAAACAAATATACAGGCGAAGAACTATACAACAATTTGAAGAGCTGGTGGAGATCCCGAAACCAGTAAACGTGTTAACTTACACATTTCATCAGTATCAAACCCTACTAATTTTGGCGGGTTCTTTTCTTATATGTTATTCTGAATGGATGGTCTCTGCTTCCAATAGGATTTCTAGATTTTTTTTTTTTTTTTTTTTTTGAGATGGAGTCTCACTCTGTTGCCCAGGCTAGAATGCAGTGGCACGATCTCGGCTCACTGTAACCTCCATCTCCAGGGTTTAAGTGATTCTTCTGCCTCAGCCTCCTGAGTAGTTGGGATTACAGGTATACACCACCACTCACAGCTAATTTTTGTATTTTTAGCAGAGACGGGGTATCACCATGTTGGCCAGGCTGGTCTCGAACTCAGGTGATCCTCCTGCCTTGGCCTCTCAAAGTGCTGGGGCTGCAGGTGTAAGCCACTGTGCCCCGCTGGATTTCTAGATTTTATTTCATTTTCTGAATGGTGTTCCCCACAGGTGCACATTGCAGCAGAGCTGCACATTCTTGGGGACCCCAATCCCACAGGAGACACCCTCACTCTGTCCTTGAAAACTAGCACCTCACTCATCCTCCCAGGTACTTAGTACTATTCAGTATTTCTTTCCTTCTTTCTCTCTCTCGCCTTCAAAGGTGAAGTGTATGTGTGTATTTCTTTCCTGTTACAGAGAAGTTGCAAGAATAGTTCAATAAACATCCTACACCCTTCACCTAAGTTCACTAATTGTTAACATTCTGCTACGTTTGCCTTTTCCCCCTCTCTGTCCCTTTTCCTCTCCAAGTTGCTGATATCATAAACCTTCATCTTAAGCACTTTAGTATTAAATATGGTAGCAAGGGCATTCCCCTACATGACTACAGTTGTGACCACATGCATTTATCATTATATAACACTATTATCTAAAATACAGCCCATATTCAGATGTCTCTGATTGTTCCAATTATGTTTTTTTTTTTTTTTTGAGATGGAGTCTTGCTCTGTCGCCCAGGCTGGAGTACAGTGGTGTGATCTCAACTCATCGCAAACTCCACCTCCCGAGTGATTCTCCTGTCTCAGCCTCCCAAGTAGCTGGGATTACAGGCATGCACCATGATGCCCAGCTAATTTTGTATTTTTAGTAGAGATGGGTTTTCTCCATGTTGATCAGGCTGGTCTTGAACTCCTGACCTCAGGTGATCCACCTGCCTTGGCCTCTCAAAATGCTGGGATTACAGGTGTGAGACACTGTACCTGGCCCCAGTAATGTTCTTTTAGAGTTTTTGTTTGTTTTAATCCAAGGTCTGAAATGGGATCATGGATTGCATTTAATTGTCACATGTCTTTCATGTATTTTAATGTAGGGTAGTTGACAATGACCTTGTTTTTGAAGATTCCAGACCATTATTTTATAGTATTTCACTCAAAGTGGATTGCTCTGATTTTCTTATGATTAGAGTCACATCAATATTTTGGCCAGGAATACTACATCAGTGGGGTTGTGTTCTTCACTGCTTTCTAAACAGCTTTCTTCTCAAACTTGGCGGCTACAAGGAATTAAATGTAAAAGGGAAAGGAAGAAAGAAAACACAGATCACAGAAGCCGTGCCTTCGAGGAAATAAATCCTCTTAAGGGGAGGAGGTGTCCCCTTTGATCTGAGGGCACACCTCTGGGAGAGAGGCCAGGGGCTGACAGTCAGCCTCGTCAGCCAGATGGTTCATCAACCCTGCGAAGGGCTGCACCCACACCGCCCTCTGCTGAGGTCCAGCTGGCCCCATCAGTCGGAAACACCTGCTGCCTCACTCTAGAAAGAGTAGGCAAGTTGCTCCCTCTAGTGGCTTAGTAGTTGCTTGGCCTGTTTACTCAGAATCTTGAACAAATAAGCAAGTCAAATACAGATGGTCCCTGCCTTATGATGGCTCCACTTAGGACTTACTGGCTTCACTGATTGCATTTCACTTTCAGTACAGATTCAGTAAATTACATAAGATACTCAACACTTTATGATAAAATAGGCTTTGTGTTATATGATTTTGCCAGACCATAGGCGAATGTAAGCATTCAAAGCACCTTGAAGCTACGCGAGGCTGACCTATGGTGATAGTTGGTCAGATGTGTTAAATGCATTTTTTTTTTTTTTGAGACAAGGTCTTGCTCTGTCACTGGAGTACAGTGGTGTAATCACAGCTCACTGCAGCCTCAAACTCCTGGCCCCAAGCAGTCCTCCCACCTCAGTCTCTCAAGTAGCTGGAGCGTGCCACTATGCCCAGCTAATTTTTTATTTTATTTTTTATGTAGAGATGGGGTCTCCCTGTATTGCCCAGTATTAAGTGCATTCTTATGATATTTTCTTCTTTTTTATTTTTTTCTGAGACAGGGTCTCACTTTGTCACCTAGGCCGGAGTGCCGTGGTCCAATCTTGGTTTACTGTAACCTCTACTTCCTGGGCTCAAGGGATCCTCCCGACTCAGCTTCCCAAGTACCTGGGACTACAGGCGTGTGCCACCATGCCTGGCTAATTTGTGTATTTTTCTTGTAGAAATGGGGTTTCACCATGTTGCTCAGGCTGGTCTCAACCTCCTAGGCTCAAGAGATCCACCCACCTTGGCTTCCCAAAGTGTTGGGAATACAGACATGAGCCACTGCACCCGCCAACCTATGATATTTTCAACTCACGATGGCTTTATTGGGACTTAGCCCCAGTGTCAGTTGAGAAGCATCTGTTAACTTTCTTTAAATTGATTTTTAAATGCTAAATAAAAAACGGCTTTTAAATCAGTCTTATAGGTAAAGAAAGTGATTCCTACAAATCAAGGGGCAATGACGCCCAGTGTTTTGCCACCCGGTAAACATGAGGTTTATTAACAAGTCACATTTTTTTTTTTTTTTTTGAGAGAGAGAGTCTTGCTCTGTCACCCAGGCAAGCTGGAGTGCAGTGATGGGATCTCAACTCATTGCAGCCTCCGTCTCATAGGTTCAAGCGATCCTCCTGCCTCAGCCTCCCAAGTAGCTGGGATTGCAAGAGTGGGCCACCTCACCTGGCTAATTTTTGTATTTTTAGTAGAGACAGGGTTTCACCATGTTTGCCAGGCTGCGGCCAAAGTGGTCTCGAACTGCTGACCTCAAGTGATCCCCTCCCCTACCTCAGCCTCCCAAAGTGCTGGGATTACAGGTGCGAGCCATCAAGCCCAGTTGACAAGTCACATATATTCTCAATGTGTTGTAAACCAGCAATTCCCACTTCAGGAAGTAATGTTACTTAGAATTGATTACAGACAGTGATTCACCTGCTCTGGGCTAATCCCGGAGCCCCACCAGGGGTTTCCATTATCTTTCAAAATGGCTTGATTTACTTTCTTTCTTTCTTTTTTTTTTTTGCGACAGAGTCTCATCCTTCGCCCAGGCTGGAGTACAGTGGCATGATCATGGCTCACTGCAGCCTTGACCTTCTAGGCTCAAGTGATTATCCCACTTCAGCCTCTGAAGTAATTGCAGTTGCAGACATGAGCCACCATATCTGTCTAATTTTAAAAAATCTTGTAGAGACAGGGTTTTGTTATATTGCCCAGGCTGGTCTCAAACTCCTAGGCTCAAGTGATTCTCCTGCCTCAGCCTCCCAAAGTGCTGGCATTGCAGGTGTGCACTATGGCGCCCAGCTGGTTTACAATCATCTGGTGCTGTAATTCTTCACCGGAATGAATTATCCTAATCTGATCGAGTGGAGAAGCCAAGAAACCTGATACAACTTCCTGTTCTATTTACTACGTGTCTGTGTTTGTTTCTTTGGGCCTCAGTTTCCCTCTCTTCAAAGTGGAGGGGTAGGAATACCTCCACTTGGGAGGCTGCAGCAGGAGGATTGCTTGAGCCCAAGAGTTTAAGACCAGCCCGGGAAACATGGCAAAACTTCCATTCCTTTAAAAAACAAACAAACCAACAAAAAGGTTTATCACTGGATGCAGAAACTTCTTAACCTAAACAGGTGAATGGTGAGAGTTGCATTTGTACTCTTACACTCCATCAGTTTCATAGTGGGATGGGAGCGTCAAAAACCTGTAGGGAGAACTGCAGGTGCCCTGAAAGGGGATTGAGTTTTAAAGGTGTCTTTAATACCTTGCGGCTCACAAGTTCCCATTCCAAAATTTATCAGAAGAAAACTTCCCAACATGGGGTAAAAGACATCCCTACCATGGCTGCATCCCTAGCAGCCATAAGAAAGATAGACGCTTTCTGTTCAAATCTGGAGAGAGCCCCAGACATATTTAGTAAAAAACGCTGGGCATAGTGGCATGTGCCTGTAGTCCCAGCTACTTAGGAGGTGAAGGCAGGAGAATCCCTTGAACCCAGAAGACATGCGTTGCAGTGAGCCAAGATCCCACCACTACCCTCCAGCCTGGGTGACAGAGCGAGACTGTCTCAAAACAAAACAAAACAAAACAAAAACCCACCACATTTCTAATAAGGACAACAGTTCTAAGAATCTACAGTCAGACAGTTAACTTCTTGGGGAAGAAAATCCCCAAGGAAGCCAGTTTCCCTGTCTCCCAGCAGAGCTGTCATTGTATATTTCAGATTCTTTGCTAATGGCTGTCTCCCCAACTAGACTCTCAGCTCCGCAAATGAGATAATCCGTGTCTACAATGCTCACCATTGCAAGCCCAGAACCCAGCGTAACGCCTGGAATAAGCAGCACTCCAATATTTGTGGGAAAAGTATAATGGTAACATTTACTGAATACCTGCAGGCATAAGCAAGATATTTCCTAATAAAGAAAATTTCTAGGCCAGGTGCAGTGGCTCACACCTGTAATCCCAGCACTTTGGGAGGCAGAGGCAGGTGGATCACTTGAGGTCAGGATTCGAGACCAGCCTGGCCAACATGGTGAAACCTCGTCTCTACTAAAAATATGAAAATGAGCCAGGCGTGGTGGTGCACACCGGTAATCCCAGCTGCTTGGGAGGCGGAAGCAGGAGAATTGCTTGAACCCAGGAGGCGGAGACTGCAGTGAGCTGAGATCATGCCACTGCACTCCAGCCTGGATGAAAGAGACTCCGTTTCAAAAAAAAAAAAAGAAAAAGAACATTTATTTTGGATTTTCTGAATCAACTTCAGAAAGTTTGGTACAAGAAGAAAGGAATACAGAGATAGTCGCGATGCTAGAACAGATACCGAGGTCCAGAGAGGAGCTAGATGCGGGCCCATCACCTCAGAGGGCTGGAGGACTCCTGAGATTGACCAGAGGCAAGAGGCTTTTGGGGACTTGGAGCATTCTGCATTGTGACATGTCATACGTATCCTTGAAAGTTAAAGCTAAGGCTGGGCACAGTGGCTCCCGCCTGTAATCCCAGCACTTTGGGATGCCGAGGTGGGTGGATCACCTGAAGGTCAGGAGTTCCAGACAAGCCTAGCCAACATGGTGAAACCATGTCTCTACCAAAAATATAAAAAATTAACCGGGTGTGGTGGCAGGTGCCTATAATCCCAGCTACTCAGGAGGCTGAGGCAGGAGAATCAATTGGACCCAGGAGGCGGAGGTTGCAGTGAGCCGAGATTGCATCATTGTGATACAGCCTGGGCAACAAGAGCAAAATTTATTCCCACCCTGCCCCCCCCCACCCCTGAGAAAAACCCCCCAAAACTTAAAATACTGGAGTGAGAAGCCAAACACTATGGGAAAATGAAGCAATTTTCTATTTTTCCCCTTCAGAGAAATAGCACCCCTGAGTGATTTCTGCAGGGCAGCCTGCCCCTGGGAGCCTGTGGCCCACTTCTTACTGAGAGGTACAACCCGACTGTCCACACACTGGACTTACCATGAGGTTTCATTATCGGCAGTAACTCGTTGCATATGTTTCTAGTGGCAAAAAAATTTGTCTTCAGTGTCAACTCAGCTTTAACATCAAAGGGCGTTGGATCATTATCTTTCAAACAGAGAAAGAAACAAAAAGAAAGTTGTATTTTCCCATCTGAAACTCACATGACAAAGTGGATCCTAACTCCTAATGACTAAAGGAAAAACAAGTTAACTGTAAAACCATTTTTATTTTATTTTATTTTTTTTGAGACGGAGTTTCGCTCTTGTTACCCAGGCTGGAGTGCAATGGCGTGATCTTGGCTCACCGCAACCTCCGCCTCCCGGGTTCAGGCAATTCTCCTGCCTCAGCCTCCCCAGTAGCTGGGATTACAGGCATGCGCCACCGTGCCTGGCTAATTTTTTGTATTTTTAGTAGAGATGGGGTTTCACCATGTTGACCAGGATGGTCTCGATCTCTTGACCTCGTGATCCACCCGCCTCGGCCTCCCAAAGTGCTGGGATTACAAGCTTGAGCCACCGCGCCCGGCCCAAAAACCATTTTGAAAAACGAGGTCGGTGATTCTCAAACTTTAGTGTGCATCCATCCGAATCACTTGCAGAGCCTGTTAAAACAGTTTCCTGGGCCTCATTGCAAAGGGCTGGGGTGAGGGCTCCAGAATTTGCAGTTCTTTTCTTTTCTTTTTCTTTTGTTTTGAGATGGAGTCTCACTCTGTTGCCCAGGCTGGAGTGTAGTGACTCGATCTTGGCTCACTGCAACCTCCTCCTCCCGGGTTCAAGTGATTCTCCTGCCTCAGCCTCCCAAGTAGCTGGGATTACAGGTACGTGACACCATGCCTGACTAATTTTTGCAGAGACGGCATTTTGCCATGTTGGCCAGGCTGCTCTCGAATTCCTGACCTGAAGTGATCCACCCACCTTGGCCTTCCAAAGTACTGGGATTACAGGCATGAGCCACCACACCTGGGCTGAGTTTGCATTTCTAAGTTCCAGGTGATGTGACAGCCACTGGTCTCCAGCCACACCTTGAGAATACTTGGCTTTGACTACTGCTTCTTAAAGAAGGGAACTGGGGATTCTGTTGAAATGCAGGTTTTTTTTTTTTTTTGAGACAGAGTCTTGCTCCGTTGCCCAGGCTGGAGTGCAGGAGTGTGATCTCTGCTTACTGCAATTTCTGCCTTCTGAGTTCAAGGGATTCTTGTGCCTCAGCCTTCTGCGTAGCTGGCATTACAGGGGAGAGCCACCATGTCCAGCTACTTTTTGTATTTTTAGTAGAGATGGGGTTTCACCATGTTTCCCAAGGCGGGAGGTTCTGCCTTGCCATGAGTGAGCAGGTTAGCAGTTGCTGTTGGTCCATTCCCCACACCTTGAGAGGCAAGGGGAAGTCCCTTCACCTGTTGTCCAGGAAGCCGGGTATTTAGCCACCAATCTCCCAGCCCATGGCTGAGGGCTGCTTTAGGGAGTGTTAACCCCCAGTCTTGCACCCCAGCTCCCAGGAAGCCGGCAGGCTGAATTGCAGGTGCGAGTAAAAGAAAGTCTCAGGTCCTCATGCACAGCCACGCAGAATGCCAAGGGCCAAAGGGATGGACGGAGACTTCTGCTCCCCCATCCTTCATTTTACTTCCTGTTTCTTAGGCTTTTCTTCCCCACTAGGTTGGAAGGGAAGCTGGCTTGTTTATCTCTCTGTAGCAACTTTTTTTTTTTTTTTTTTTGAGACAGCCTAGCTCTGTCGCCCAGGCTGGAGTGCAGTGGCGCAATCTCGGCTTACTGCAACCTCTGCCTCCCAGGTTCAAGCGGTTCTCCTGCCTCGGCTTCCCGAAGTGCCGGGATTACAGGCGTGAGCCACCACGCCCGGCCCAGCCGGTAACTTTCTTGAGTAGTATTTAGAGTAAGTAATCTCCGGATCCAGCCCCTCTCCTTAAGGAAGATGCTCTTTAGACCGCACGCACATATTTTGTAACAAACAAACTCGCCGGAGGAGGGAACGAAGGCTCGCTTCCTTTCTGCCAGAGTCTATCAAAGCTCTGCATTAAACAAACTGTGAAGTCCACCAAGTGCAAGTCCGCGTTAATCTTGTTTTAGCGATTCATTTCCTTTCTCCAGCAAATGCCTCCGGGCATCTATGAATGCGCCCTTTGAAGGAAAGCGAAAGCCCAAAGCGAGCGGTGACCCTTTCTTTAAAGAGAAAATGTTTCTTGCGTTGGGAGGAAAGCTGATGAACTCTAGCAGGGCGTTGCCCGCTCCCAGGAGGCCAGTTTTCCTGCACAGAGCAGCGGCTGACAGTTCGGGGAAGGCCGGGGGCCGCGCACAGGCTTGCACAGGCGGGCGGGCGGGGCGCGCTGTGTCTGCCGCCCGGGCCCGCCTGGGGTTCAGCGGATTATGGAAAGCGAAAACCACCTCGCGGAAGGCGAGGGCTGACCGCATCCCGAGGTGCCGGCGCGCCCTCCTCGGTCACTCGAGTGGATGGGTGGGGATCCTGCGGCTGGCCGCCCCGCACCCTCGGAGTGCTCCACGGCTCCCCGCACCCAAGCCCTGCACCTACCCCAGAAGACGATGCCCGCGTTGTTGACCAGCACATTGAGCCCTCCGTACTCCTTGCGCAGGAAGTCGCGCAGGGCGCGGATGCTTTGCAGGTCGTCGATGTCCAGTTGGTGGAAGCGCGGGCTCAGGCCCTCCGCCTGCAGCTGCTGCACGGCCGCCTGGCCCCGCGCTACGTCCCGCGCCGTGAGTACCACGTCCCCCGAGAACTGCCGGCACAGTTCGCGCGCGATGGCCAAGCCGATGCCCTTGTTGGCCCCGGTCACCACCGCCACCCGGCTGCAGGACGACATGGCTGAGCGGGGCGCGCAGGACACCTGCGTGCAGGGCGGACCGGCCTTCGGACCACCTGGGGCGCGCCCCGTGGAGCCTGGCCAGTGTCAAAGCCGCGGCGCAGACTAAGTTCTGCGATCCAGTGCTGCGAGTCTTAAAAGAACAAGGCCCACGGTCTGGGTTCCTCCCCTCCGAGGAGGGGCAGTCTGTGCCGAAGATTTCGTAATGTTTCAACTCCCGGGCCCGCCCCGTGCCCACGCTGCGCCCTTCTGGTTCTGGGCAATGAGCCGCCGGCTGATCTGCGAGGTGTGCTTTCCCCAAAGCCAAATCCGACTGTGGTGGGTCAGTCGGGGGCTCCAGATTCGTGGCAGCTGGACTGAAGAAACTATTTTGGGAAAATCCCAAAGTGAGAAAAACAAGTGCTGAGTAATTTTCTTGGGTGCGCGCCCATCATGCTCTGCGAGATGCGAATGTTTGCTTTTTCCTAAGATGCAGTGACTTCGCTTAGACATAGTAACTGCTTCTCTGGACGGAGGTCCCCTTGCTTGCTTAAAAGAACTCAGGAGAGGGAGTTAGATGACCTGTGAGCACATTAGCAGTTGTGGGCAGGTGACATCGCTCTGGGATCCCCAGTGGATGTGCCCCCAAGTGGGAGGGAATGTTTTTATTTAATCCCGACCTAACTCCTCTGGGTGCTGAAAGTGTCTGCACTTAGGTTTGTCCAAGGAGGATGTAGATCTATAGAGATCTGGATTTTTAGGTTTGTCCAAGGAGGATGTAGATCTATAGAGATCTGGATTTTTAGGTTTGTCCAAGGAGGATGTAGATCTATAGAGATCTGGATTTTTAGGTTTGTCCAAGGAGGATGTAGATCTGTAGAGATCTGGATTTTTAGGTTTGTCCAAGGAGGATGTAGATCTGTAGAGATCTGGATTTTTAGGTTTGTCCAAGGAGGATGTAGATCTGTAGAGATCTGGATTTTTAGGTTTGTCCAAGGAGGATATAGATCTGTAGAGATCTGGATTTTTAGGTTTGTCCAAGGAGGATGTAGATCTATAGAGATCTGGATTTTTAGGTTTGTCCAAGGAGGATATAATCTATAGAGATCTGGATTTTTAGGTTTGTCCAAGGAGGATGTAGATCTGTAGAGATCTGGATTTTTAGGTTTGTCCAAGGAGGATGTAGATCTGTAGAGATCTGGATTTTTAGGTTTGTCCAAGGAGGATGTAGATCTATAGAGATCTGGATTTTTAGGTTTGTCCAAGGAGGATATAGATCTATAGAGATCTGGATTTTTAGGTTTGTCCAAGGAGGATGTAGATCTATAGAGATCTGGATTGATCATATATTCTCACAGTGAGATCTGTGTACTGGCAAAGAAAGTTAAACTGAAACAAAATTCCCAAATGTGTGTCAAGCTGTGGGCACAAAATCAGATCCCCATCCATCATCTTCAGTGTAAATTGAGTTGTTTGATCAGTGATTTTAGGATTTGGGGAGAGCTATGACATCATCATGACTCCTCCGCCTTTTCCACGCAGAGCTGGCTAACCTGCCCGTGTCTCTGTTTCTTTGACTCCACCTTCTCTCTCAAGGCCTTACCTGAGGTCCCGGAGGTGGGCCCTTGCTGTGATCTCCTACTGCACCTCCTCCAATATTTCTTTCCTTTTTCTCCTAAGCATTATTTGGAACACTGTTTTAGGGATACAGGGCTATTTAGGCTTCTACTTCTTGTTCTTTTTATTTTTTTGAAACAGGGTCTTCTCTGTCACCCAGGCTGGAGTGCAGTGCTGCAGTCGTGGCTCATTGTAGTCTCAATCTCCTGAGCTCAAGTGATCCTCCTCTCTAGCCTCCCAGGTAGCTGGGACTACAGGTGTGCCACTGTCATTTCTGGCTAAGTTTTTGTGTGTGTGTGTGTGTGTAGAGATGAGGTTCTCACTGTGTTGCTCAGGCTGGTTGAATTCCTGGGCTAAATTGATTCTCCCTCCTCAGCCTCTTAAAGTGCTGGCTTGTGTCACTGTGCCTGGCCTAGTTCTTCTTGAGTGATCTTAATTTATGTTTAAAAAAAATTTTTTTTTTTTTTTAAATAAAGCATTGATCCTGTTTTATCATTTGGCCAGAAAACTAATCCACCAGCCCAGGAGGGGACAAGTAGGCTTAATCCTCCTCCTCATCATCTCCGGCTCTAGCCCCACCCTGGCCCTTCTTGGCATTCTTCCTTTTCATGCGGCCCAGGTGGCCACCCCCATAGGGAAAGCTGAGGGAGAAGTCGATGTGCTTCTGGGAATCCAGGTGGACAATGAAGGACCGGTTGTTCACCACCTGCTTGCAGACCCTGCTATGGCGCTGGCAGATCAGCACGTGAGCATGGTGGATGGACTTGGCCAAGCCCAGCTTGAAGACCTGGGTCTGCGAGCATCTAAGAAATAATCGATCTTCTGGCCCAAAATGTAATCCAGCCTCATCCTGGCCTCATCCAGCACCCCAGTGCGAACCAGCCGCTGCAGCAGGGTGTTGCCTTCGAACAGATGCGGTGGGTCCTTCTTGTCAAGGTCAGCAGCTCCCGGGCGGCCTTGTGGATCTTGACCAGGGTAAATGTGACCCTCCAGACCTCACGTTTGCTCTGGAGCCCATACTCGCCAATCAGCTTCAGCTCTTGGTAGAGATGAGATTTCTCGAAGGGTCTCTGTGGGGTCACATAACTTTTGCAACAAACCCAGCTCCTGGCCACTGACATGTTGGCTCCACTTGCCCCATCTGCGCCTAAGCGCAGGCCCTAGTCACTGAGAAAGAGCTCAACATTTTAATATATTTCGTCAAAGGTGTTTGTTCTATCAACACTAAGTTGTTCATAATATGCCCTTATTTTTTTTAATATTGGTAATCATGCTACATGTCATTTCTGAGACTGGTTTGTGTCTTTCGTATTTTTTTCTGATCTGTCTGGCTAGAGGTTTGAATTGTTTTGATTTTACTCAAACTTTTGGTTACACTGATTCTCTCTCTTTTCCTGAATGTATTAATTTCTGTTCTGATCTTTGTTTCCTTTCTTCTGTTTACTGGATTTTATTTGTTCTTTTTCTCATTTTTTACTGTAAAGGCTGAGATCATTGACTTGCATTGATTTGAGACGTCTAATGTAGGCAGTAAGTGGGACAAATTCCTTCCTAGTACGACTTTAGTGGCATCTCACATTGATATATTTTCAATTTAATTCCGTTTATTTTTATTCTTATCTTCATTTTTTGAGACAGAGTCTTGCTCTGTCACTGAGGCTGGAGTGCAGTGGTGTGATCTAGGTCACTATAGCCTCCACCTCCTGGGTTCAAGCGATTCTTGTGCCTCAGCCTCTTTGAGTAGCTGGGATGCGCCCACTGCCATGCCCGGTTGATTTTTGTATATTTAGTAGAGGTGGGGTTTCACCATGTTAGCCAGTCTGGTCTCGAACTCTCACTGCAATCTCCGCCTCTGGGTTCAAGCGATTCTCCTCCATCAGCCTCCTGAGTAGCTGGGATTATAGGCATGCGCCACCATGCCTGGCCTTCTTTTTTTTTTTTTTTTTTTTTAAGAGAAAATCTCTGTCACCCAGGCTGGAGTGCAGTGTCATGATCATGGCTCACTGTAGCTTTTACTGCCAGGCTCAAGCAATCCTCCCATCACAACCTCTCTCTAGCTGGGGATGCGGTTATGCCACCATATCTAGCTATGATCTCTCCTTTGACCAAAGATGTTTAGAAGTGTTTATTTTATGTTATTTTTTTTGAGACAGAGTTTCACTCTCTTGCCTAGGCTGGAATGCAATGGCGTAATCTTGATCTTGGCTCACTGCAACCTCTGCCTCCCAGGTTCAAGCGATTCTCCTGCCTCAGCCTCGCAAATAGCGGGTCTACAGCCTCGAGACAGCATGCCTGGCTAATTTTTGTATTTTTAGTAGAGATGGAGTTTCACCATGTTGGCCAGGCTGGTCTTGAAGTTCTGACCTCAAGCAATCTGTCCACCTCAGCCTCCCACAGTATGGAGATTACAGGCGTGAGTGAGCCAACGCACCTGGCTAGAAGTGTAGTTTTTGGTTTCCAACTTATTTGGGGATTTTCCAGCTAGCTTGTGATTGCTTTCTAACTTAACCATTGTGGTCAATGAACTTACCTTGCACAATTTAACGCCTTTTTAAGGAGTTTCAAAAGCTGAGAGAGATATTAAAGCGTGTTTCTATGTAATAATAATATTCTCAGAAAGAGTTGAATAATGGAAAAATTGCAAGAACAAAATGTGTGGAAAGATCAAGCAGGGATGGCTCTGGGAATCGGGTAGGGTGTGGAGGGGAGGCAGCACACCTCTTCTCTTGCAACAGAAGGGAAGGCAGAGTGTGTGGGTTTAGACCCAAGCATATTGGGGAAACTAAGGCCTTCCTTGAGGGCATCTATTATCTTTTTGGAGGTCAAGAGATTTGAGGTCATCATTGAGAGGGATTAGTTTGGGAGAATTGAGGACAGTAGCCATTTTGCAGATTAGGAAAGTGATTTTTTTTTCCTGTGCTTTTAAAAGAACTGTAGGGGCTGGGCATCATGGCTCACACTTGTAATCCCAGTACTTTGGGAGGCCAAGGCAGGCAGATTGCTTGAAGCCAGGAGTTCAAGACCAGCCTGGCCAACATGGCAAAACCCCATCTCTACTAAAAATACAAAAATTACCCAGATGTGATGGCATTCATCTGTAGTCTCAGCTACTTGGGAGGCTGAGGCAGGAGAATCGCTTGAACCCAGGAGGTTGAGGCTGAATGAGCTGAGATTGCACCATTGCACTCCAGCCTAAGTGATGGAGTGAGACTCTGTCTCAAAAAAAAAAAAAGAATTTATTAGGAAATGAGGCAGCACTAACTAGCTAAATTGGGCATGCATTTGGGATCCATGGTCATAAATGTCAAGAGAGCTGGGTCTCTTCTGGTTGCCCTCAGCAGCTAGTGCAGGCTGGAGTCGGGTGTTTAGCTTTGAGAGTTGGTGTTTTTTGAGGCTCGTACAACAGTGTGAAGGGTGTTTGCAAAGAAAGGAGTATAGTGTAGGACTATGGCCAGCAGAGATGGAAGAAAGGACATGACTGGGCTGGAGTTTTGTAGAGAAGGACAATAGGTCTGATGGCATGGTGGCCTTCTGGGGCAGGGGATCCTGGAGGGGAAGCGGTGGAGGCTGGAGCCAAGCCATGCCCTGGGGTCAGCTTTGAGATGTTGTGGCCTGTCCTGCTCATGCCCATCAGTGAAGGGTTCATTTGGGGAATACTGCTGATCATAGCAGTGGTTGTGCATGCTGGAAACTGTGCATGTAGAACTCTTGGAGACATTTTTAAAAGTGCTAATGCCTGACTCTCACCCCAGACATTGTGATTTGATTGGTCTGGGAGCCATCCAAGCCCCGGGAGTTTTCGAAGCTCTCCAGGTGATCCCAATGAACGGCAAAGTTTGAGAACATCGGGTTCTAGTTACGAGGTTAATTCGATAAAAATGACATGCCCT